TTTAAGTCATTTCTTTGTGTTTGAGTCTCTTGTTTTTGAGTCTTGTTGCATTCTTTCATTTCATGTTTGCATCTATTTTTGCATTGACTTGTTTAAGTCTTCTTCATCTCTTTTCATCTGTGATTGAATTGTTATGCGTTTACTTGGTCTTTTACCATGATCCCTTAGGATTCCTAGTCCCTTTGTTTAAGATGGGAGTAGGTGAGACATTATGTGTTCAATCCTTTGCATGATAACATTAAGATAGATTTCCCCTTTTAATCCCAACTTTAGGAGCATTTTGCATGATAACATTATGGTTGATCTAGTTTCCCCTTAGAGCTCGTGTCTTCTCTTCTCATCTCATAATCCCTTAAGACACTTAATAAAGGATAATAAATGGTGTACACTACGAGCCTTAAGTACTTAAGGAATGATAGGTGAGGGGCCTCCTCTCACACTATCTAGAGTGTTTAGTGTATGCCCTTTGGGCGATATGCGACGCATTCGCTCTCAAGTTATAGTCTTTAGTGCAACATGAGTTACAAACTTAACTTAATTCACTTTTTGTCTAAAAAACACAGAACAAAACATCAAACCTTTTTATCCTTCGGGATTGTTTGCAAATCATTTTCAGAAAGAGTGTGTTAAGTCTTAGTTCTACCGCACACAGGCATCGTCCCTAACTGCTAGAATAAAGGTTTAACCCTACTCAGTTAAAACACTTAACCAACCGGTGGTCGTGTCAGCCCGAACTATGTTTGCTCTAATTTCTCATACCAGATGAGGATACGTAGGCACAAGACAGCAATGTCTTGGCGAGCAACCTTCCCCACCTTCACCCATAGTTTTCCGAACTACGTTGACTCTGACTTTCCCATTGCACGAGGGAATACGTAGGCATAGAGCGGTGATGCTCTATCGAGTCTCTTTTATTTTCTTTTGTCCTTGTGAGCCAGCCTTTTGATAGTTTTAACACCCTTTTAGATAGACAACAAGCGTGGATCTCGTTGAGTACAACGGACGTGAGGGGTGCTCATACCTTCCCCTTGTGTAACCAACTCCCGAACCCAAGATTTGGTTGCGATGACCTGTCTTTTCCCTTTTTCGTAGGTTTTCTCTAATCGTTTCCTTTCCCTCTCTTTGGGATAAATAACGAACGGTGGCGACTCTTCTGTCTTTGCAGGCCCTTTTTTTGCAGTAGCGACACTTATCAAGTGTAGAACTTCGGCTCGAGCTTGTGCTGATGAGATGCTCGAACTTCCTCTCGATGGATCCCACGGTCACTTTATTGAATCCCCCTCCCGAGATGACCATGACGGAGGGGAAGGTTTCGCATCGGCTGTGTACAGCGAAATAAGGAGGGACGTCGAGCCCCTCAGGGATGTAGAATTCTTTTAGCCGCGAGATGCTCATGGTGACTTAAAGACTGGTCTTTCCCGATGAAGATACCTCTTCTTCGACCTTCTTTGACTCTTGGGTGTCCTTCCTAAGAGCATCCTTCTTCTTGACGAACTATTTCTAGTACCCGTCCCTGATTAAGATCTCGACTACATCCTTCAAATGGATGCAATCATTGGCCATAACGTTGTGGCTTTTATGAAAGCAGAAATACTTCATCTTGTCTGTGTTCGGCTTGGCTGGTATCTATTTCGGGAAGCGGGCCCCTGCTTGGCGGAACACCGAGTTCGCGCACTCGGAGAGAATATTCTCACAAGAGATGGTCAGCGAAGTATAGTCGTGGAACTGGCTAGATGGCCATTTATGATCCCGGGATTCTTGGGGGCGGTCATCCCGTCTTCTCTCGGCTCCCCGACGAGATGTCAATGCTTCATCATTCTTCGAGGACCTGGAATTCTCCTAGTGCCTAGAGTCTCGGGTAGTGTTGGATGCTTCCCTCTCTTTATACTGCATGTATGTTTGCGCCTTGAGGAGAAGGGAATACAGAGTTGTGGGGATCTCGATGCCAACAGCCTTGGCAAATTCGGTGCGGGGACGAAGCTCGCGTTCAAGCAAGTACTTCTTCATATCGTCGGTCGTGGCGTTCCGGACAGCTTCTTTGTTGAACTTTTCGATATATGCTCAAAGAGGTTCGTCTTTTCCTTGAATGATGGCCTCAAGGGAGGCTTTTGTCTCTGGGTGGCGACGGGAGGCTGTGAAATGCTTGGAGAACATCCTCCCTAGATGTCTCCAAGATGTGATGGACTCGAAGGGGAGACTCTTGTACCATGACATAACTCCCTTTCTCAGCATGTTTAGAAATAATTTACCTTTGACGGCGCCTCTGACGCCGCGATAATCGAGCAGGACATCGATGTTTTTGATGTGCTCGTCTGGATCTGTAGTACCATCGTATGTGCTCAAGGGTGGGGTTTTCCAACCCTCTAGGTAGGCGCATGCCCATAATTTATTGGGACAACAAGTCATGAGTCTTGTCGTTGCTGCTGCTGCTGCTAGACCTCAAACGGGAGCGGGTACTTTGTCCGAGGAGAGGACTACGATCTCTCCGGGGAGATGGACTCCGCGCTCGGCCCTTGGATCTAGGTGGAGGTGAACGATGACGCTCTGTCCAGAGATCCCTTCTAGTTCTCTTGACTGTGGAGGAGTGTTGGCTTCGAGGAGAGGTATGTTTGCGCTTTCTCATGGTCAGAGAGTCTGGCTCAGCTTGTACCCGACGGTCCCTTACTCGTCTGGGAGAAAAACTCTGAGATCTTCGGCGTTCTTTCCTCGGCGGAGGAGATCTTAGTCAAAGAGATTCTTCTATGGCTCCAATTCTTGCGTTCTGCTGGAGGATTAGAAGATTTGTTTTGTTGAGGACCTCGAGTAGAGCCTCCATGGTCGGGTCGGCGTTAGGAAAAACTGGAACGGTCTGATGGTCTTCGGAGGGTTGGCCCCCGATGTTGTCCGCCTGATCGGGGGAAGGAGACGTGGTGGCTCCATCTCTCTGCTGATGGACTTCGCTCCCAAGAAAAAGAGTTGCTTCTTCATCGTCTGTCTTGCTAACGGCGAGGATGGCATTGCGAGCATCGTGGACATTGTCATGGATGGCCATGATCGAAATCTTCAAAAGAACTGCTTTGGTCTTGAATTTACGAGAAAAGAAAGAAGGGGAAAACAAAGTTTCCCACATACGACGCCACTGATCTTGACGGCTGATTAGAACCTGAAATGGGTCAGAGACTTTGTCGGTGATGCTGGGTTGCAAGGATGAGAAGGGGATGTACTTGTGAGGCACTTCGATGCTAAAGTAAGAATCGGGAGAAGAGAAGGTAAGTACAAAAAGAGTATGTCTTAGGGTGATTTGAAATGATTTAGAATACATGACCCTCTCAAATGAGATGATTTTTATAATGCCCCCAGCGCTTGGTCATTGGTCCCTATTTTCGAGGCGAGATATTCGCTCCCAAAAAATAGGTAATTGTCAAAAACTAGTCGTTGGGACTAGCGGATGTACTTGAAACTAGTCGTTGGGACTAGCAGATGTACTTGAAACTAGCTGTTGCAGGAGGCAAGGGCGTGGGCACAGACGTCGTGACTGTTTCTGGATGGTGAAACCGTGCGTAACTGGCATGAATATGACGAGGGTCAGCTGATCTTGGAGGTCAGCTGGCCATCTTTCCTCGGCAGAGGGGCAGAGGAGAGAAAACTTCACTTTGCTCTTAGCTGGCAGGGCTAAGGCTATTGGGTCGTTTTGTGTGCAGAAGTGGATTGGGTCAATGCCTAGCCATTTGGTCAGTTTGAAATAGTTGTATTGTTCTTTTCCACAAGATTTTTCTATTTGTGGATTTTTAAACTCATGTCCCAAAGACATAAGTTAGCATTACCCTAAAACAAATTCAATCTTTTAGTTTACTAAATTGAAATTTATTAATGATGCATGTATGTGAGGTATGTGATGTGGGGGGAAAAGTAATACCTTAGTTCTTTTTTATAAAAGACAACATATATTTTAGATTTATTGAATAATTAATGTATCTAGTCTATAAATTGTCTAAATACATTAATTATTTAATAAACTTAAAAAAAAGCAAATTGTCTTTTATATATAGGAACAAAGATAATGATATAATTTAAGAACGAAGACAGTAATATAATTTAAGGTACGACAATATTGCCGACATAAAAATTCAAATAAACAATTGATATCAAGAAGTAATATATCAATCAACAATAATTCTGAAAGAAGAGATATTGTTGATATTAATAAATAAAACATTGATTTATTGTTAATTTTTTTTGCATTATTGATTTGAGATATATTTAAGTTTTATTAAAAAATAATCGTCTTGATTCACTTAAATTATTCATTTTTATTGAATCACACTACAATCATACTAAAAAAAAACTATTTCCTCTAAAAATACAAAAATGAAAATAAAATTTTGCAAAAAATCCTTTGAAATACTAGTTATAATTAGAATTGATTTTAAACCGATTTAGAATCATTTCCAATTATTAAACTGGTTTTCACTACAAATGGTTTTCAGTACAAATAATTTAGTTTATAAACCAAAACAATAAAATAGAATTGGTTCACATGATTTGATTAATCATACACACCCCTAAATTTAACATGGTCTTTTGTATAATAAGAATGGAGAATTTCAATCCTCGTTAAACCAGCTAAGTAGCTAAGTTGATAAATGTGTAAAGATATTAGATGTTGGGGTGCGGATTAGAACTCGCAACAATTTAAAGGGTGAAATTTCAACCATTAGTCTAATTGACCCAAAAGAAAGAGTGGAGAATATCATAAAACAATGAATAGCTTTCAAACTACTTGCACATGCAACAAGCACACAATCTGCAGTACAAATTTGGATATTGCATACTAGCTAATCAAAATAGCTTCTTCTACATAGAAGAATCATCTCCATGTTCGTTTTTACATGCTATCACAATTACTAACAAAGTCTACGCACGAACTAAACATAAATGCACACTTGTACTTATGACAGAAGTTGAACAAAATTAGTCGTTTGAGAAGATATTGCATAGTTACAAGGATTTTAAATGTTGCTCTATGCACCATCATCTTCCTGGTTGTTCACCAGTTCGCATTCATCAATCCACTCGCTGTATCTGCATAGTTACAAACAAGCTCCTTGAGTCATAGATATGAAAGACATGGAAAGAAACAAAAGTGAAGAAGGGAGGGTGTTTTCCACATAATGATTGAACTTACACATCTATTGGCTCGGATAAAGCTGCAAACACATGGAAAACAAATTATTAGCTAGATTTCCATAAATACATTATTCGAGAATATCTGACTTCTAATAAAAAAGCAAAACATTTATTTCTCAATCCGAATACAAAGGCGGGAAACCTGTTTTCATTTTCTTTAAAAAGTCGCAAAAAGAAATAGACAGAAACTTATTGCTGATGTTTTCTCAAAGATTGTAAAAATAATTACTTACTGCCAATAGTAGTAGATATGTGTCTCTTAATTTTTTTTCATATTTTCAAAATGTCATTGGGTCAAGATACAGAGCTAGGAAGCACTTGCCAGCAATTTTGCATTGAGTTAAAGTTAAAACACACGATCAAAACCAAGTGTGAAGGGAAACTCATCAATATCAAGTTGTTTTTGTTGTAAAGATCAGCAAAATGGTTTCTTGTTATTGTATCTTTAGCTATTTCCCATTTTCGATACCCAGTACCAAGTATGATAGATAAATTGGTATTAACAGCCTCACAAAGAACCAACATAGTAACTAGTAAATGCTGAACACTACATTTGAAACAAACCTGTGATAGTAGTGCTAAAGTTCTCTTGGCAAATACTGCAAGAAGCTTCTCCTATCAAGTTCTTCATGTCACTGTCAAAAGATCACCAAAAATGAGCTTCAAAACAACTTATATCCTTAATCCATCATGATTGTGTAAACAAAAACAAAAATGTTAAATATTATGAAACTAAATGATAAATTGTCATAATAAATAGCATAGCTCAAATAAGAATGTTTCAAAAGTGCTTTTAGAGAAACATATGAGCTAATAATAACAAAATCAACCAAGCCTTATCCCACTAAGTGAGGTCTGCTATATGGATTAACTTTTGCCATAATACTCCATTTAACATCATGCTTCTATCCAAATCGTTAATCTGAAGATCTTTCTTAATAACTTCTCTTATAGTCTTTCTAGGTCTTCCTCTAATTGTGTTTGACTTCTCTCCATCAGACCTACTCTCCTTACCATAGAATCAACAGGTCTTCTCTCGACATGCTCAAACCACCTAAATCTATTTTCCACCATTTTCTCTACTATAGATGCTACCCCAACACTCTCTCAAATATTTTCGTATCTAATCCTATCCTGTCTAGTTTTATCACACATCCAATGCAACATCCTCATCTCTGCTACACTAACTTTATTCTCGTGTTGATTCTTAATCTCCCAATATTATGTCTCATACCCTTGTGTCACATAAAACCCTTGAAGTCATCCTGTATTTCAGCCACTTAACTTGAATTCAATGGTTTACATCCCTTCTATTTCTTCATCATTTTGTATTACGGACCCAATAAATGATTTATAATAAATATTAAAACCTAATAAAAAGAGATACAAACCCTTTACAATGGCAAGGAGCATATGACTACTTACATGCGGCATTCAACACTGCTGCCATGATTACAGAAAGGGCAACTGAAGGAAGTGTCGAGTTTATCCATTCGTTTCTTTGGAGGAGGCTTTGTTTTTGCTTTCCTCTTTCCCATAGCTCAAATTCTGATTCTGATATGAATAACAAAAGTATGCAAACATTTCAGTGAAATGAAAACTTCAAAATGCAGAACAAACACACAAAATACATATACAATTCCATACAAAAAATTGAACTTACCACACAACCAAAATTTTCACCAATCAATGTTTTGCTAACCCTAATTTTTCTCTAATCATTTCTTAAAAAATAATGTGGCAAAGAAACACGAGAAAACAAAAAACCCTAATGGATATGATTTTGTAAGTGCTTTCTAATAACATTGAATTTGATAAAAATAACCAAAATTTATTGTCAATGTGTAAACAGAGGATAAATTAATACGAGAAAAAACCCTAAAGGATATGATTTTGTTAGTATTTTCTGATAAGATTCAATTTGAAAGAAAAAAATTCCAAAAATCCGTATCAATGTGTATACAGAAGATAAACAATTTATGTCGAAAATTAAATAATTGATGTGATTACCTATAGAATGAAATCGGAGAAATTTGCAGAAGCAAGTTATGCCTTTTTTTTCCTATTGATGTTCTCGGCAGCGAAACGGAAGAAAGAAAAGCGGAAATCAAATGAAACCCTAAGCAAAGAAATTCAATATTTAATAAGTTTTATCTATTTGTCTATAACTATATATATAATCTATAACTAGCATCTAGAGTTACAGGCAGGTCTTGAGGTTATTTCCTATGTGTCGGTCGGCTAGGTTCCAAAAATTATTGAATTTGATCTTAAAATTCGAAAGAGTTTATTACTCCAATTTTTGATATTCTTTATACTAACGTTCAAACGTGTCCGCCGTGAAAATATTAATTAACTTATTTTTTATAAGTTTAATTTTAATATTAATTATTTATATAAACTTTAATATAAATTATTTATATGAAATTTTTATTAAACCTAATTTAATATTATTTTTGAAATTATATACTGAATAATAAATACTTATTTTGACATTTGTTGTTACAGTATGTGTATGTGAAAATTATCAGTTTAATATTAGCTATTATTGCACTAATACGGAAACATAGATATATATTTATCAATTATCTACAAATATTAAATACAATTTATATTTAAAACAAAGAAACTCACTTGTGCGCCTTTTTAGTCTACACACGTGTTAAAACACAAACATATTTTTTAATTTAATTTTGATCTTAAATTAAATTATTTACATAATATTTAAACGGGCACCCGTTTATACGCTTAAACACAACATCTTACAACTTATTTAAAAAAATGTTACCAGATTTCTATAATATCAATTCTTCTTTCCAGACAAACAACATAACAATTTGTAGAGCTCTTACAAATAAATAGTATAATGCATTAGAGTTTTCATTTGTGTGGCACTCTTAAAGAATGTCACCGGCATAAAAATATGTATTTTATAATTTTCTTCTTCTCTTTCACGACAATAAAAGATATGGAAGTTATCTTTTAAATCTTTTTGAAATTACTAATCACGCAATATTTTAAGGGTTTAAAGGTATTGCACTGTCAGTGTGAGACAATTTTACTCATACAACCAATCAAAATGTCTATAATTACCATGTAATATCAGTATTTTTAGAATAAAAATATGTTTTATTCTAATCAGTTCCAATATTTAAAAAAGTATAAACAATTTCTATTTTATATATATATATATATATATATATATATATATATATATATATATATATATATATATATATATATATATATATATATATATATATATATATATATATATATATATATATATATATATATATATATATATCATGACATTTTCCATTTCTTTGTATATAAAACAAATCAATTACTAAATTTTAAAAAATAAGATAGACACTTTGTCTATTTTGCTTTAAAGATAATAACTCATTTTCATTGGTATTATCAATTAAAAACTACACTTTTGTTTACTCAACACAATTTTTTTAGTTAACATACAATTATAATGATTATACCATTTTTTTTTTCCATTTTCTTTCTCTTACACTCGTAACTTCTCTCATACCTTCTCTTTTTTTCTTTTTTTTCCGTTTTGTATTTATTTTTCAAAAATATGATCTTCTACATTCATAGAGATTCACTCCACTTAAAAAAATATATTCTTATATAACCACTAATCAATTTACTATGCTACACTTTCTTTACCTATTAAAAATTAAATGGAAAAGCAAGAGAACCATCCATTTCAATTTGGGTTGGGATTGTAAATTGGAATAGCAACAGTAAAAAATTAATGATATTTAGAAAAACTAATGATGATTAATGAATTAAGCATCTACATGGATGATCCAATGACGTTAATATTCCATTCATTTAAATTAATAAGCAAATTTTAATGTAGATTTCTTTGAATATTAATGAAAACCTCTCCAAGTAAACAATTAATAGGAAACTTTGTTTCTTTCTCTTTATTGTTCTTAAAACATATAATAGGCAAAAAAAAATATCCTATTTGAAATAGTTATCTTTGAAATTCAAAATTACCTCTTTTGACGATGGAATGCTAGTGTAATAAGACCAGAGAATATAAACATGAATTAGTTTCAATCTTGATGTTGCTCTCTAATACAAAAACAACACAGAAGCAAACATTGGAATTTCCAAAGGACTTCTAATACAAACAATAACAAAGAAGCAAATTATTAACCACCCACAAACCATAAATTATGAAGAATCATTGGATGAAACATTAAATGAATATGTTTTTTTACTCTCTATACATTTGTATTTATGTTATGCATCACACCTTAAGAAGTTTATCTATAAATAAAAAAAAACACCAACTCTATTAGTTATGGAGTTACCACAATTCAAAATAACTACCATCATTTAATAAAAACTTTATATATAGTTATAAATAGATTATCTAATTTTAATTTAATTATAAATTATTTATAAAATAATTAAAGATAATGATATGAAAAATAATAAACGGTTGACGGTTAATAAACCGTCGTGTAACCGCCATTGTGAGAAAAAAATAAAAATTTAAAATAAAAATTGAAAATGGTAAATTTGGAAGGAAAAAAAGCTACACCAAAACAATGTATTGCCTTTATATATTGTTATAGATTCTTAGATACGAAGTAGAATTTCTTTTATGCCCCTTGCTTTTGGAGACATACATTCGAATGTACCTTTTTTTTCTTTACGTTGGATGTTTTCAGAGATTCATCTACGGAAAAAGTTTCGGAAATGTGTCTCTAAAATCTTACGAGAACAGTTTTTTTTTATTAAAAAAATCAAGTTTTGTTGATCGCAAATGAAAATTAACTATTGCAGATGAATACAAAAAGACTCCAATCCAATGTTACACTATCAAAGCAAGATCCTTTACGTCAACCACAATGGCCAACGACTCAAAACTTCAAAAATCCTCGATGGCATCCACGACTAAACTTGGTCATCTGCACGTTACCCACGTGGAGGCAACATTCAAACAGGCAGGGTGAGTAAAACGATTTATAATAATTAATACAAGAATCAATATATAAAATAGCGTCATTTTCATATTAAACATCATAATCATCAAGGAACATCAAAGGTCACAACATTATAAATTACACCAATTGTCACATAAATGCAAATGCAACAAGACTCATGCATGTGGTATCAATCATCACAACTCGATGGACACTGGACCATCAACCCTCCAAAGATCCCCATCAATAGGATTGATTCTATATAAGAACAAAAGCACATCAAAATACCTCACATCCGCACAATGGAACTGAAGTCAAAGAAATCAAGGTCCTGAATCGAAGTCTGGTGCATATGAATGCATGATGCACATGTCAATATCATCCTCATAATAAACTCATTAGGTGCATCATCATTCATCAAAGTCATCATAATGATCATGTCATCATATAATCATCAAAAACTCATGGAATCATCATCATAGCTCATCATCATTACTCATAGGAATCATTATTATGCAATCATGTATTAATCTCATCGGAATCATGGTTATGCTCATGGTAATTCATCATACAATCACGTATTTAATATCATAAAAATATTACAATCAATTATCCTATTTATACTATGTTATAGCCCTGTTCATTAGCTTTCTAACGCTTCGAACGGGGGCCAAACAGACTTACGGATCAAAAGTTACGTCCAAAACAATTTCGGCCGAAAACATGAACAGTCGTGACGAACAACACGCAATTTTCTGCGTTTTTCACCGTTAGAGGCCTTCCGGACCTCCGATTTCGATTCTGTAAAAACCCAAACTCTCAGAAAGTTACAACTCATTCAACACTATAATTATCTCAAGTAAATTTATAATTTTAACACAATTAAACCATCTAATCATTGTTTTAAGATTATGCCTAAAACCTTTAAGATTAAGGGATATAAGTTCAATCCCGTATCATATTTATGCCTCTAATTCCCATAATTTCTTACAAATACCCCACGGTCATTAGAGTTATCACAAATCACTTATCTTACAAGGTTAAACAATCTCAACAACAGATTTTGGCCACGAAGGCCTAATTTCCTTTACTCTCAAATCAACCTCAAACCTATCAGACCATCAGTTCAAATCCCTATACGGTTAAAACCTCAATAATAGATTTTGGCCATGAAGGTCTACTTTCCTTCAAACCCAAATCGACCTCAAAACTATCAAACCATCAATTCAAATCCCTATACGGTTAAAACCTCAATAATAGATTTTGGTCATGAAGGCCTAATTTCCTTTATCTCAAATCAGCCTTAAACCCCTTAAACCCTTTAAATCCTTAAATTAGCTTTAAATACATTAAAATCACATATTGAAAATAATAAAGGCAATACTCCTCATACCTTAATTGCCGACTCTAAGCCTTTTGCTTTGATTCTTGGAAACCTTGCGAAGCTTTTGCCTCAATCATCTTCCTCAGAGCTCTGGCCTCTATTTCTTCTCTTTTCACAGTCTAACAAGAATGAATCTTAATTTCCTAAAAAATCTCTTTTTGTTAAACCTAACTTTGGGCCTATAAATTGGGCT